AAAGGCGAAAGAACGGCAGCGGTCAGGTCAATCGGCAAACGGCAAACGGAAATCACACACTCGGGTTATAAAGTAAGTGCTTAGCACCTTGTGGCAGATGCCAGCCATAAATCTGCGACTGCATGGCTCTGCCCCGACCCAAAAAATTCCAGTTCCGCTGGCACAGGGGAGTTGCCACTTGCGTTGCACCGGACAATGCCTGCCCCCGGCCGAATCATAAATTGCGTGTCTGTGAAAATGTAAACAAAGCTGCGGCTGCGGCTGATGGCTGATGGCCACTGGAGCTGGATGAAGTTCAGTTACCAAATCTTTTGGGGGGTCTATCAAGGCCTTCTGGAGCGCCTCGTGCATTGCATGCAACATTACAATTTGCGCGCAACAAGTTTGTATGAGCAAATTCGCTGGCAAGCTTCATAAATATTTAATAAATTTAATAAATTGAGTGGCAAGGAATCCGCAGCCACAGGGCAGGCACTTCCTGCTTATTATTTTTAAGCACTTAAGTGATAAGAACAAATAAAAACAAAGGCAAGGGACAGCGGCAGATTCATGTCGTCATTCCAGTCTTCAATGGCCTTTCCAGTTCTCTCTCTCTCTCTGTCTCTCTCTCTTCTGCATTGCCTAGAACTTAACCAACTGATAATACCTTCTATAAAGGGGTGGATCGTGGGTCCATTACCAACAGTATTTGCAGGAAATGTGTCGGCAGCATCATAAATATTTAATAAATTGGGTGGCAAGAAAATTGGCTGCAGGCCATACTTTTTATGCTCATTATTTTAAAGCGCTTGAGCGATTAGAATAAATAAAAAGGTTGGGCTAGTTTTTTGCTCTCTGGGATAAATTTTAATGGTGTCTTGAGCTATTTTTTGTGCAGCATATTTAACGTCTGACCAACATGAAAAAAGTCCATTAAAAACTATCTATCGAGCCACTCCCTTCAAAAAAAAAAAAAAGCACGTTCTCATCGAAATTCTCCCTACAGTCCCCTTGCTGTACACTCGTTTGGGCTCTGAAGATTCTGGATTCTGCATTTCTGTCTTCTGTGTGCCATTCCCTATAATTTTGCTCACTTAAAAAGCCATTGCGGTTTCACACATGTGGATTGGGTTGCATAATGCATCTTTCTGGTGTTTTCACGGCCCCGAAAAAAAAAAATACAAACTTCTGCCCCTCCACCACCCTTCTGACGGTATACTCAAATTATAGGGGCCCGCATTGAGAGCAGGCTGAGGCACACAATGCCGATTGAATTAAGCCAAGACTTAAGACAGAGGCAGTGTCAGGGACAGGGACAGGGACAGGGACAGGGCTGCTCAGCTTGGCTTAAAGATGGGGCGGATCAGGCGATAGAGTCTTGTAATTGGGTAACTTCTGGATAAGAGAGCTGATTATGCCAGCATTTGTATGCAAATGCATTTTATCAGGTTGTAAATACTCATAATATCACACGGTATGTGTACAATGGGCTGGGAGATACGACGACTCATAATTATAGCATCTGGCAGCTGTTTTGGCCTCAAGCCGCCGCTCTGGAGCGGGGCTAGAACCAATTGAGTCGCGTTTCAGTCTCGCCTCGTCTAGACTAATTCACTGCTCGTAAAAGAACTTTAATTGCAAAAGGAGAAAAAATACAAACATACATACAGACATATTTTTATTGTTCATGTTAAGCGAATTGTTCTGTGGTCAGTTCCTGGATTCGATTGCTTCTGGCCTTATAATTAAGCAACCATTTGGAGCACACATACAAACACACACAAAATATACATACGTACTGTACATATTTATGTATGCATAATCCTGTCTTCGGGTGTCCATAAAGCCCGCGGCGTCCAACGCGGAATATTAAAAGTAATGCCAACATATTAACTGGAAATCTCGTAAATTATGCACCCAAATGACCTGTCAAATCTGCCAAGGGCCTGGCTGCTCACTCTCGAGCACATTTCTCAAATATGAGTATGAGAAAAAATAATAATAAACGAAGCAAATGCTAAAACTACGCTCGACGGCGGGTTGTGGAAGCCATTTGAAACTGAAATCGAAAACAAAATCGAGCAAAATGTATGCAACAACAAAATATACATAAATGCATACATAAATACATACAAATAAACATACATACATATGTATTTGTGTACCAGAAATACATTTTACAACTTTATTTTACGAGCGCAGCAAAGTTTTTTGTTTTTTTTTGTTTCCTTTGGGTTTTCGCGCGAAACGAGAATTTGCCAAGTCGCCGGCCCTACTCGTAAACGTTCTAAACAGACACACGATGGGAACGGGGGGATATGGCCAAGAGCGGAGTTGCGTCTTAAGAGCCCGAAATAAGCGCAGGCGCATTAAATTAATTAACTTAAGGCCAACTCTATCGATGCCCCAGCACAGGGGCATCACTGACTGCCGATCGTTTCTCGATCCTTGAGCTACGAATTCTGGCTGAAGTTTACCCGGAATACTTGGAAGAACATGGCAAGAGTACTTATTATCAGTTGCAGATCAAAGATGGGGGGGTGTCTGCCTAATAGAAGCCATCAAAATAAATAACAAAATGAATACCCTTAGCCTCATGCACTACTTGTGGGCCACGTTTAGAGAGCTGCCTGAACCATAGCCTCTTGCCTGCAGGTCTGATGACTAATGCTGGAATTTTGCAGCGTCCGTGTGGGCAGAAGGCAGACGGCAGACCCCAGTGTGTTGAGCTAATGAGCCGTCGGACTTGTTCAGGTGAATGAGAAAAAAGCCTACAAAGTTGCCAGCCTGGAAAACTCGATTTGGGTATCCAGTTTTGAGAGCGCCCAAGACGGGTTAGGCAGCTCCGTGCAGACGCTGGAGATTACGAATAAGTTTACACGTTTGCAGACATTGAGGCCGCAACCTAACACAAGCCAAGAGATAGGCATAGAGGGGCATCCAGCTACTGTCTGTCCGTCTGTCTGTTTGTCTGGATCGTTGTGGTGTCCAATTGATTGACAAACTTTTTGCAGTTGACAGAAGACGCGCACTGTCCCTGCACTTATGCTAAACGATGGGACGGATCGGATCGGATCGGATGCCATGTCTGGCTGGCATTATGCATAAAGAATTCATCGGTGACTGGAAAATGTGAAACTGTGAAAATGTTTCATGCCTCCTTAGCGCTTTGATGAATGGTTATGTTGCATTACCTTGACAGGTCTTCCCTGTAATTGTCCAAAGATTAAGCTGCCATTCGTATGCCATGTTGCTCGTGCTCAAGTGCAATTAGGTGGAGGAACGTGGAACGTGGAAGGTGGAAGGTGGAACATTGAAGGTGGAACGTGGTCAGCAGACCGATGGATGGACGCTCGCGAGTCGCGACTGTGGAGGAGCAGAATACACATGGATGAAGCCCTGATTAAGACGCGACTAGATTTTCTCACATTAAGAATTGCATGAAGAAATATCAAACTAATTGCTGGCTGCAGGCTACCAGGGGGCTGCAGTATTCCTGCGTAAACAATTAACTCTGAGTTCCCCTGTGGCAGCTAGTTCGTCGGTCAAAGCGATCAAAATACATCAAACTGAACATATTTTCAATGGCATAATCTGAACTTAAGTGTGAATGGCAATGCCAGACAGCCAGGCTCGCCCTCAGGTGCCAGCCGTTGACAGCTTGCTGGTTCTATGCTAATTGATTCCTACATGGCCCATCAGCTACCTTGCTCCGGCTGTCATTAAAAGCGTAAATGTGTGACATGTGCTGTAGTGTTGCTTGTACCTCGGCTTGTCTTGTCTTTTATGTTTCTTCGTTTTGCCACACTTCTGCACATTGAAAGCCGCTCCTTGATTCGATTGTCCCACTGCAAGATCAACCAATTTATCATCATACAAAATGCATTTAATTTGTACACGCTTCTGGCGGGTTCTTTCTGTTAGCGGGTATCCCTTAGTCGAAAGAGTTCTTCAGTTTCACTTGTTTCTTCTTTTGTGTGGGCCAAGTCTGGGCTCGTCCCGGACAAACAACAACAACTTGATTAGGCCTTCTGTCCATGGCGTCTCTGCCACAAATGCGTACGTGCCCCGTCGTCGTTGTTTGTGGATCGGGTGGATCTGTTCTCGATGCCTTCCTAGTGGCGGCGGCATATTGCGGCCTATAATTAGGTGGGAATCATTTAGAGGCGAGACACACCACGACTCCCAGACAGCTTCCTTCGGCTGTGCATAGACAGACTGTGATGAATAAAAGCAGTGCAATTTCATCTGCGAGTTTTTCATTTTCAATTTTCCCTCCGCACTTTATTAAATGAGCCATAAATATATTTTAGATACCGACTGCCAAGATCACAAATTGAGCGAGTTACAAGATTAATGACGGATCTGTCTGAGTTAGTTCAAAGTAAGCACATACGTGGCCACGTCATTAATACGTGACAGCAGATTCGAGTTCAACTCAAAGCCAAAGTCGGTTCATCAATAAATAAGTTGCAACTTAAATATAGTGGGGCAAGTATTAAAGATATCTAACGAGGTTTCTTAAAGAGGTTTTAGGGTATGTTGTATGTTGGCTGCAATGGTTTAATAGGTGGAAGGCACGAGAACAAATAAATGTACAAAGATTGGACACACACGCACAGAATGGGGAGAAACTGTATCGCACCATTTACTTGTACGAATATTTTTCATATTTAAAAGAGGCCAAAATTTGTGTGTGTTTGACCATAGTGAAGTGTAACTATGAACTTAAAAACTTGTAGAAATGCAACTATATGTGGGCACTTGTGCACTCTGTTAAAATACACTTTGTGGGGACAGGTTCCGACCACGAAGTTCGCGTAAAAAGAAGGGACAGAGAAACATCAACTAGTTTTCCGCAGCACGACTACACTTACTGTAATAATAATTCAAGCTTTTATTACACGAACGGTAGCTATCGCAGCGTTAACAGATAAATGCTAAGCTTTTGATTCAACAGCCCGCTATATGTAAATACCTTCAAATAAATATATGTATGTACGAGTAAGCTGTTCACTTACCCAATGGTACATTGGCGCCATTCTTGCGATTAACGGAGACTGAGATCGGCAAAATGGCGGCGCCGGATGTGGACGAGGGCGAGGGAGATGATGAATCGCAGGAGCCCTCCAGCGATTGGGCTGGTGTGGGTACCGTGGACATGTGGGGATCGGCACTGGTAATAACACTGACCCCGCCACTGGCTGACCTTCCACCAGCTCCGCCGCTGCTGGATGCACTGCTTGAGGTGGCAGCGGCGCCACTGCCTGAGCTGGCTCCGCCTCCTGAGCTGCTGGTGGCTGGTCCAACACTTCCGGCGTTGTGCTCGTTGTGTGGAGGAGATCGGAGCGCCGTGTGCTGTGGCTGGTGCTGTTGCGGATGCTGAAGATGTGGATGGTGCTGGTGCTGGTGGCTCTGGCTCTGGTGCTGCTGCTGCTGCTGCTGTTGCTGCTGCTGCTGCTGCTGATGAGCCACTGTGGCGGCTGCCGCTGCCGCCATGTGTACATGATGCACATGGGCGTGACCATGCAGGCTGGAGGCAGTGGCTGGCACTGTTGCTCCCGCCCCATTGTGGGCCCCACTCAGGTGGGAAGGCGGAGGCTGCGAAGGAGCCGCCGCCGCTGAGGCCACTGCCTGCTGGTGCTGGTGCAGCACATGGCCATGATGGGAGAGGGTGTGGTGACCATGGTGCGGATGGACATGATGTGCGTGAACGTGGGCGGTGGCAGCGACGTGGTGGTGATGGCCCAGCAGGGCCGTAGTCGACGTCGATGGAGGCGGCACCTCATGCATATGCAGCGCCCGCTGCTCGTCCTGCGCTTGGGCGCGGCGCAGGGCCGTCTGTAGGGCCATTACCCGCTGACGGTCTGCCGTCAGGCGGCACTTCTCGCAGGTGCAATAGCGGTACTTGCAGTAGCGCTTGTGACCCTTCAGGGTGATCTTCAGGCCATGGTTTCGACAGCGGGCACAGTTTGGCGGTGTGCGCGGGGAGATCGAGCTCCCGCTGGAGCTGGAGGCCCCGCCGCACACATCGTTCTTCGAGTCGATCATATCCGAGTCGGACATGGTGTCGCTGTTCCAATTCTCCTCCGAAACCATCCCAGAATATTCAAATGTCCTTGAACTTGGAAAAATCAGTTGCAGCTGTGGTTGTATGTCTCTAACACTTCAGTTGTCCGAGATGGGAAGCATTTTTCGAACTGCCAGAGGAATTATTTTTAAGCACAATTTATGAGATTATTTTTATATTTTTACTGCGGTTATATGTGCGTATTTTGTATCCTTTTTCGATTAAAATATTGTGTGTTTAAGTATTTATTTAGTAAATTGATAGCTATTGTTTATGGTATTTTAAATTATGTTATGTTAATTTTCACTTTTAGTTGCCTAATCCCCAATTTGTAGACTCTGGATAATAGATTGTTAAGCACCTGAAAAGACAAGTGAAAGATTTGATGTTTATTATTTTTGAACAGAAAATAGTTTGAGAAATACTTTTGAATTGGTAAACAATTTCCGTGTTAGCATTTCGTCTGTATGGACTTTTGATAATTGCACCCCGACTCGATGATGTAATTTCTAGGTATGCAATCGGCTCTCGTCGGATCGAAAGAGCTCTCGCTCTGTTATGGTTTTGATTTGGTTTCTCCATTAATTTTGCATGCATGAATTGTGCTGGCAAACAAATTGCATTTCTGTTTAGCGCACGAGCTAATGTATCTCATAGTTGGCAATAGTCTCAGACCGGAATTTATTAAATTGCAGATGGAGCGGTGCTGCAGGTGAAACTCTGTTTCCATTGGCCGCTGGCTCTTGCATGTTTGACCATTCATTATAGGTAAAAACATTTAAAGTTTCCTTGATTCGATCGGTTACGCCCCCCCTACATATAGTTTTACCCAGTTCAGATGTGTTTTAGATATAAGCTACGCCTAGTGGGTGGAGCTGGGCTTGCAGATACATTGTATCGATACGGGCGAGGCATTTATCACGATTCTAAATATGTATTTACCCTTTCAGTAGTTCTGCCAGATGCGCAAAAAATATCTACAGGAGAGTGTGGATTAATGGTTGACTTTTGACACTCTGAACTTTTCCAGCCATAAAGGCGATTTTTTCGTATGAATTTTAAATTTCCAGGCAAAATTCCAAAGTTCAGCTTAGGTAATCCAGTTAATTAGGAGTCGTTAAATGTATTTTTAGTGCTCTTCGCATTTTTCCCTTTTACACCGAACAATTGGGGAAACAGAAAATGATTTTCTTGTTTTTCTTCTTTCGGAATTAAGAAATGCAACGAAAACGTTAATTTATTGTAAGCTATTTCAAGGCTAAATAATTTAAAATAGCATTTCCTTTGGTTTCTTGCCATTTACTTGTTTAGCAGGTGACAAGCCTCGAGAACCGAGGCGTATGCGCAATCATGGTTTGTAGTTCTAGAATATAATTTATTTCACATTAAAATTCATTCTTCTAGCATTTTGTTTAACGATTACATGTAACATTTTGAAGAATATTTTGGGGGGCTAAGCTGTAGAGCTTTGAATACATTATTTGTAAGTCTAAAACGTATTTTACATTGTTTTTAAATGTCAAAGTTTTATGGATGAGGCTATTACCTGTTTAGCGGTATTGATTGGAAACTTTACTAATTTATTTATAGTTTTTTGTGTTATTATTTATATGATTAGTTGAATTATTTGTAATATTTGTAGGTAACGTTTATGTGTTTATGTAGATTGTCTTTTGTTTTTTAATTATCTGTATATATAGCTATTAGGATTTGTGTAATTTTATGAATATTTTTAAATGGTTTTAGTTATTCAATCGTTGAATTAGCTTGAAGAAACTCCGCATGGGCTTATTCCAATCAATTGACTCCAAATATATTGTTACTTTTTTGCTGTATATGCTGAGATATCGGTTTAATTGTCACACAACAAACAAAAAATCACTCGAACATTTTTGACGCGATCACACTTCATTTGCAAATGCCGACGGCAAACGCGAGCTGGCTGTCTGAACTGAATCACCAATCACCGTCTAATTGGGCTCTTATTTTAATTGAGCTTCACAATGCAAAAAAAATTAATATTTATAGAGTCGCTTAGATCTGGTATCGATATGGATAAACCGCTGGAAACGTTGCGCGCGTCGCGAGCCGAGCTTCTGCTGCTGCTGTTGCTTTCCGATCTGAAATCTTTGGCATGCACAAGGCAACTCGCATTGGGCCGCAAGACGCGGATGCAAAGAACTCAAAAGCTTCGCGGCAGAGCGTTTTTCTTGGTGTTGGTGCCCGTGCATGTGATGTGCCAATGCGAGAGAGTGTGTGCATGCCATGTTTGCCTGTGTTTGCGTGGACGCCGACACTCACCGCCAACGAAACGGAACCGAAAACCGCATCGAGAGAGGAGAGCACACTAAAGTGACGGTCTACACAGCACAGTGGCTCAGAAGTCCGGATTCTCGGTGGAAGTTCTGTTAAATTTTGAGCCGTGCCAAGAATCGTTGACTGAGTGGACTGGAGTGGAGTATATAATGATTTCTGACAGTTCTCAAGCACACTTGCTGCAAGACTACTGCCTGAGGACCACTGTGCGCCGTTGACGTTGCTTGCATTTGGAGAAATGTGGGGGCTGCACACACACACACAACTGCGGAGAGACAAACAGACAAACCCAGAGAAGCCGTTGTATATAGGCAGCCTCACACACATTGGCTGGTTGCTGTCGCTTTGTGGTTGTTTTTGTTGCTCTTGTTGTTGCTGTTGCTTTCGCTGCAGTTGTTAGTTGGCTGCTTGTTGCAGTCGCCGTGCAACTTGTTCGAGTTCGTTTTGGTGTTGGAACGGGTTGCATCGCTGTGAGTTTTATCCTCTGCTTTGTTTTATTTCTCTCTCAATTTTTGCCCACTTGCCTTGTGCTGCATGTTTTATAGCATTTGTTTTGGTTATTGCTTCGTGCTGCCAACGCGCGAATGCGTTATGTGCATTGGGGTAATGTTTGTAGACCCCAATCAAGAATTCGCTTATATGTATGGGCACACAAACATAGGTACATATGTTCGTACCGGTTGGGCTTTTGCTCACTGCTTTCCTTCATTATACAAGAACACAGCTCTATTTAAAAACTGTTCAACATAGTCCACACATAGACAGTACACGCCCACGTCCAGAAGGCAACAAATCGATCAGTATCCAAATTATAGAAACACTGCCAACAGAAACTGATGTGTATTGTGTGCACAGGGCAGTGCCAAGGAAAATTTGCGCCCACGGCAATTATTTGTAGGGTTAAACTTCTTTTTCCCAGACCTTAAAAAAAAATGCAAGCAAATAAGTTGTGGCAAACTTAATTATAGTCTCATCAATATTTACTTTCTCTGTGATGTTATGCTCTATTGATTGATTAAAATCGGAGCCCCTTAATCTGCTGCCTGACTGTTCATTTCCAACGACCTAAGGATAAAACGGTTGAGATCATCTTACATATTTCAGACAGAGCATTCAATGTTCGTTCACCTCTTCCTTGGAATTTCCTTGCACAGATGGGTATTCGATTTAGAATCGAGTTTAATCTAATTTGCAGTCAGGGTGACATTTGGATGACTCCGTGAACTGTCTTATCTAGTGTAGAGAGGTTTCGTGGGCTAGCGTTAAACCCGCGGACGGCCGGCCCACCGTCCCCGTGCACCAGAATGAAAGAATATAGAATGAAAGAGAGAGAGAGAGGGAAAGTGGCGAAACAGAGGGGCCCCCTAGTAATAAGCAATAAGTGAGAGCTTCTATCGATAAGAATAACAATACGAAGTGTTGGTTTTCCTTTTTGACAATAATAACTTAATTTCGGGCCTAAAGAGTTAATTACACACTTTTGCAACGAGAGAAAGGTAATTGAGCATGCAAGATCTTGTGATAGCGGAGCCCACAGTTCGGTTTGTGCTGTTGCTGACCGCCGCCCCCTTGCGACCACGGCAAAATGTTGTTACTTCTCTTTTTTAGTTCTCTTCTGTTCGAGTATTTTGAAAAGTGCACACACGATCGCTTATCTGGCATGTCGCGACTAATTTGTATTTGCACAGAGAGCACTCCGGAGCGCAGTGCCAGAAAGGGGAAGATAGAGCGCGGTATCAGTAGCTCGCGGAGAATGGCAATTCTATGTTTGCTAATTATGTGATGGGAGGACGGATGGAAGCGGGCCCCATCCCCAGCAATGCTGCAACTGCAGGGCCGGAAAATCGCTCATTTGGAGCATTCTGGTGAGTGGAGCGTTAAAGCTTCAGTTGGGGCCGCCTGGCATTGGATTACAGTTGGGGCAACAGGGAAGTCCACAAAAACTGGTTGAGCTTAGAGAAGGATCGAAATATCCTAACAGAAACCAGTTCTCCCAGGCTCCCTGTCATTTATGAATGGCGATCATATTTTAAATAATTTATATGATACTCTTAGGTAAGTGGCAAGTGAGCGGACACCATTCCGGTTGATGCCATAAATCTGGGGTAATGAGAGACTTCTTGATCGACAAGAGTAGTGTGCACCAATCACTGGATCACCTACTTTATTGCTGATCATTGATTATCCACAGTGACAAGAACCACGCTGAAGTTAGACCAACGACGAAAACCGGCTTAAGCAGAGCTCAAGTAAGAAATTCTCCCTCGACCTACTTAGTTTATTGCTAAACAAACTGGCTTCCTTCTTTATTTGCATTGCTTTTAGATGCGCGAAAACTTCGTACCAGTTTTCCTTTCTAGGCGGTGAGGTTCCCCCGAAATGGACCCGACTGAATAGATGGCTTCTTGTCAGCTCCAAACATGACTTATTGCAGTCGTTTCCTGTTTTGGTGGCCAGACAATGACCGTCCCACTACGACACTCCGTCCGAATATTAACTGAACGTTATGTTGTAGTTGTAGATGGTAATCGTGCAATCGAGCATACTCGCAGTACCTGCCGCTATCGCCATTAAGCCTTGTACACACGAGCATTTATGTCAGGCAATTACAAGGCAGTTTGCAACGCCCACCGCGAGCTGTGAGCAGGGAGCAGTGAGCAGCGTGCAGGGAGAATGCCGGGCGATAGTGGCACATGTGGTAGCCGAGCGCATTCATAACTCATTGTGCACTTACCGTAGACGATGAGAAAATATTCACAGGCAGCCGCGAAAGTTTCTGCCGGCGTAGTTCTAGAATCTAGATGTGTATCTGCCTCTGCAATCTGCATTGGCAATCTGCTTCAGAGGTGTGCTGCACTTGGTTATGCAAGCGAGATGATCTCCGAGAGCTGCGTAAACAAATGTCGGCAAGAGAGCAACTGACTGAGAGTGAGAGTGGAAGCGAGAGCTGAGAGCCGTTAACTGGTTACTGGGAGCCGGGACTTCAACCGCGACCGAGACCGAGTCTCGGAGCACTACCGGCAAACAATTATTTTTTGTTATCTCTTGCCAGACAAACCGTAGACGTCACTTCAGTTTTCTACACAAGAACATTCGTTAACTGTGGCACTCTGTGTCGTTTATTCCTTTTTATATCTGCTCCATACCGAAGATATTTTCAGACATTTCTGTCTACCCGGGCAGAGACGAGTGGAGGGAAGTGCAATGCAAAAAAATAATCACATGTCGAACACAGCGCGATAGCCTCTGGAGCCGCACACAGAGAGAGACCGCATAGGAACTAACAGACTTGGGTCAACTTAAGAGACCGATTGCGGTTCGGATTGGTTTAGTTACGGTTAGTTATGGATCGTTGGGGTTACGACTGCGACTAAGACAGCGACTGCGAGTGCGACCACGGAATACACACTGGCCGCAGCATGCACTAGCGCAAAGGACGATCGATGCCAACAAACTGGTTGCAGCCCCAACGAAACTCAGAGCACCACACTCATACCAGACCAGACCAGACCAGACCGACTAGCATGTGTTCACAGAGTCGAGCCCACCGACTGTCGCTGCTTTGCTTTTGGTATTTGTTGGTTTTTGCACTTTGGTGCAGCGCTAATAAAATGAATGTGAGATTAGGCCGCCATGACGACTTTTCAATCACCTCCTACTCGTATAACTAAACGCTTATAGTCATTTGAGAAGAGGAGAGTGAAACATATTATGCTTCAAGGGAATTGAATACCTCGAAATAATGTCCATGAAAACAGAACAAAATATTTGTTGTTCCCTCTGCTGTTCAAAAATGTTATGATGGAAACTGATAAGCTTCAAACGATAAAGTGTCGGTAGGTAGCGCATTCGAAAGCTTCTTGGGAGAACGAGGAATCGAGAGAAGCAAATGCGAGAGAGAGAGAGAATCCACTGCATGGAATCAATCGGGAGCAACATTTAAACATTTTTCTCTTTCGCGTGCTCTCTTATTAGCTGCGTTTGCTTTCGCGAATCTCTGCGAACCAGCCGAGTGTAGCAACTTTGTTGCCGTGCATTGACGTCTGTGTGCAATGCACCCGATCGGTTCTCTTACTCTGCCCACTCTCGCACTTGCTCTCTCTTTATGCCGCTTACCCGAAGGTCTTTGATATAGGTCGGCTCGGCTTCGCATTCAGGTATTTGAGCCAATTTATGTAGAGCCGCCCCGTTTTGCGTGTGCAATGTCACACACATTAATCACATTCATGAGCTTCCTTCGATCATCGGCCAGGGCCAGGGTATTGTTCGAATCGATAAATGAACTGGAAAGCGGCTCCATTAAAAATTTGATCTTGCTGCCCGAGGTGGTGCACGCATTTCGAAAATTGTAATAAAAACACCGGTTCTGCAGAGGGACCAACGTGTAGGTCATTATTCGTTGTTGATTCCATAAGATATTCTGAGGGCGCAGCATAAGCTTATACTTGTATTTAAATAATATTAATATATATACATAATAATGTAGTTATTTAACAAATTTAGAGCGAAAATCAGTTAGAAACCTTCCAGCGTCCTGTTTATAGTGAAAGCTTCTTTGGTTGACAACTCCACTGGGATCTGGGCTCTGATCTTTGAATTGATGTACTATTTTAGGCGAATCTGGCTCTCGGTGACACAAAAATACCCTAAACAAAAACAGCAGAGTGTTTGCAATGTTCTTTCTGGTTTTTTAATTCTCATTTACTTTAATGATAATCCATTAAAATTGATCATTTTACATGCATTTCAACCCATGCACCTCAGGACAGAGGGTTCCAAAAGATTGCCTTGGATAGTCGTTAATCAATTAGCAGGGAGCGGCAAGCTAATGGCAATCGCAAGGGAAGAGTATCTGGCAGATACGGAACCGAAACGAAACCCGTTTATCTTTCCAGTCGAGTTGGGATTCGCGCGCTCTTAAAAAACTCAAGCAGGCACGATCATGGGCCGAAACCAAACAGAAAATACCCGAGACCACTATATTTTAAAATGCAAATTTGCAAAGAAAACGGCGAATATTTATTTATGATTTGCCCTTAGTGCCATGGCCCGCTCTCCCACTCATTCTTTGTGTGTGTGTGTTTGTGTCTCTCTCTTTCTCTCTCTCTCTCTCTCTCTCTCTCTCTTTTGCAAATTGGTCTCTCTTTGGAAGGTTTTTGTTTTGCCCTGACCGAGGCGACCCCGCATCGGTCTATTTTTTCTGTGACTTATTTTTACCAATTCCTACCGCAAACGGTAGCGATGGAAACATTTATACAGTTTACGCTTAGCTGCCAGTTGTTGTCACCTCCAAAGCCGCAGCCGAGTTACTCGACACATTGGCAGCCGCTTATTGGCAGCCGCAACTCGGATAAACGGGTGAGGAACCGGGAAAGCTGCACAATGCAGAATTCTCCAAACACCACTGTAACCCAAGTAGTCAACCGCAGCTCAGTCTCCCCCACGTGCTCCCACTCCTCAGCCCTACTCCCTCGCTCTCTAGCAGCATCGGCTCGTGTTCGTGTTTTATAATTGTTATGGCCATTCTACAAGTTGTTGTACATTGTTGGCTTTCCGCTGGGGGGATGACTGATGTGGGGAACGGGATCAGGCCACCGCGTGGTGTGCACCAGGTAGCTTAGGCATGCGAATTGCACAACGACTGGCGCCCACATCTCAAATGCACATACGTAGTTTGCTCGTATCTCTGAAGTCTGGAGTCATAAATTGTGATTTCCTAAGGGTAGGTCAAAGAGCAGCTCGATTGTGCGATTGAAATATTAAACAACAAGAAAATTAGTTGGTTTTGACTTCTCGACAAAATTGTAACCCATCTATTTTTAATATAAATAGTTACCAGACATTAAGCTTAAGCTAAAAAGTTGTAAAATCAGTCTTAAAAACCAATTAAAAGCCGATTTATTAGTCGAACTGGTTTCAAACAATGTTTAGCAGACGCAACTTACATATGTATGTACATATGTACATAAGTATGTACGCGGTAAAACGCAAGTAATCTCTTAAAAACCATCAAACAACATGTATCCATTAAAAACTAATTGAGTTCAATCTGAAAAGCTCTTAGAAATAGCGAGATTGAAGCAGTTGTGTAATTAGACAAGGCCGATAGCCAAGAACATAAATGAACTTTGAATGTTAAATAAAACTCCATCCCTGGCAATAACAGAAGAAAAAATGAAATGTATTTATTTATTCATACAACCTACAATTAAGATCGCTAAGAGACAATTAAAAAAGCATAATTCTGTGTGTGTTTTATAATAAAATGTTGGGTAATTAGTATGGTCAAAGATCTTTCAGAACGGAAATGCACTTCTTATGATGCGGTGAATGTACCTTTAAAGAATGAAATAAATATTTATTTGTAAAATATACCGACAGTTCCAGTTCAAAGTTTGAACTTCAAACACTTCAAGGATCCGATAGAATATTTCTTTAAAAACCTGTTCCATGGTACCACTCCTGAGCCGGCATCAAGGCAGCTTCAAAAGCCCGAACGCGTGCGTTTGATCATGCTTAATATTTTCATAAATATGTAAATATGTATGTACATAAATACCTACATAGCCTTGTTCAAGTTTGCACCTTCCCCTCGCTGCGGTTTATTTCGAAATTTGAGCCGAATTCTGAAGGCGAACAAATTGGTAGCTCAATGACAAATGGAGTGCCAAAAAACGTGTTTTAAGTCCTTAGCCAAGATAAGCCGCACTAATTTAGGGTACCAAGGCATAAGATTCTGACAGCCAATGGCATCTACATACAGGGTACATACATACATACATACATCGGTATATCGGGGCTGTGGTCAGGAATAAAAGGGCAAGAGAAGATGGCCAGGCAATCTGCATATATAAAGGTAACCAAAGGACAAACCTTTTAACCGACCAGCGGGAGGAACCTGGTGAAGCTGTGTGGGGAAAGTTCCACAGGAGGATGTAGATGTGGATGTGGATGTGGAATGTGCATTCGAGAAAGGGTGTCGAAACCGGCGAGTAATTTACGCTTGCATGCAAATTGAAAAACAGTCGAGAACAGGCATCGGACCGTGGACACCATGTACACACTGTAGAGGGTGCTGCAGCGAGAGGAGCGAGCAGTTGAGGATGAGTGGGAACAGCTCTTGGGCTGATTGAGCGCCAGGATGATGCATTTTAAAACAAATTGGCACAGTTTGTGAGAGGTGGCCAATGCCAGTGACACCCGTAGTTTGACACCCGGGCCTGATGTTGTTGTGGCGTGTTTGTCACTCAATTAGATGCAACTCATTTAGCCTCTCTCTCGCGTTTGGGCCGGCATTTGTGTGCACAAAATGTTAATCAAAGCCTGATGGGATTTTTTAGGCCAACTAATGAGAGGCGAGCGACGGCGGTATGGGGCGTGCGACAGTGCGGAAAGTGTGAAGTGGTTGTCGGGGTTTGTACGGCATGGGGCAGAGACATATTGATGACAGTCGCTCAATTAATATGCAAAATTTATGCATGGGAAAGCTCAAAAAACCAACGAACGATGCCAGCGACAAAGAGCTAAAAAAGAGCAGCGGCAAATGCAAAAGGAGAAATGCGAAAAGTGCGATACAAAAAATCAATACATATTAGCCGCCCTATTTTGTTGGTTTTGTTTGTCCTTTAAGTTGACTAATCCCATTGGAACATTGCAACTTTAAGTGTCATCTTTCAGAGGCTTTTCCGTTCTTTCTATAGGATATGCTAGTCAAACGTAGAGTCCTTAATAGATTAATTTTGGAGTGTGTAAGAGTGCGAGAATGTGTTGTTTGTATGCTGCAATTAAATCACTGGCTGGTGCCTCTGGCTGACCTGGAATGGTGGAGGGTTGTCACTGCCAAGGCTGCATTTGATGACTGGGCTGATGGAAAAATTGTTGAGACAATATAATTTCGGTGGGTGTCCATTCCCCCACAAGGCCAGAGCTGGCAGTGGAATGGAAAGGAGAAAGACTCCGCAGATACGCACAGAACGAATGCACAGCGGGCCAGTGCGAAAGTTTTCCCACATCCTGATGATGATAATGATGACCTGCGCAACAATAGTTTGCATCTCACACAGAATACCCAGAATGAAGATGTGTTTCCTCTTACTCTACTTCGGCGTTTCTTGTTATTGTAGCCTGGCTGGCCGCAATCAACTGCACTGCATGTTGCGGTTCCTCAAACAGCATTGCTCTTGCTCTTGCTCTGCTCCGTGTCTAAGGCTGTGGGTGTGGGTGTGGGTGTGGGTGTGGCTGTGTATCTAATCACATTAGCACGTGCGCATATCCTTTCGGCCCCGGCCTGGCGTGGTGCTCCCCAGGCTGCCATTGCCAACCCAGAACTGTGCAAAACTAAAAACATTTTGGGCGCTTTGTTTTTGGCTCATTTCGTTTGTCGATTTTGATTATTTGTCTGTGGCTGCCCGCACAGACTTTTGTTTTTGCCAGCTCCTCAAACTATTTGTATCTCAAAGTTGGCCACCACACACGTATGCCACATGCATATGCAAGCAATTTTCTTTGTGCACTTCAAACTTTTCCACAAAGGCGAAATAATT